GTTGTATCTCTCCTTCTATTAGTAAATCTTCCCCTCCTTGCCCCGTGGACGTAGGCTATTTGCCGAACCACGTAAAAGTTGTGTTCTTGTCGTGATTTGTAATAGCTTGTAGGATCCCTCGACAGGTCAGTCCTAGAACTGATGAGAGGAAGAGCCGATATCTCACTTGGTTGAGATATCCGCTTCAGATTCTTGTTTCCTTGGTGAGACGGGAATTCTTATCGATCTAATCTCTCTTGTTGTGCTGCCGAAGTGCAGCCGAAATTTCCGCTGCGCACAACACGTTTCAATTGTAATTTGAACGGTTTTTCACATAATGGGGCCATTAAGCCCCAATTATGAAGAGATTTATGGGGTCAGTTACACCTTTTTAGATCTAGCTGAGAATTCAGCTGAATACAAATCCTTTTTGGATCATTTGGGTCAGCTTTTGAGTTGGAGTTTTTGGAGCTTTGGAAGCTTGGCTTTTTGAACCATCTTTGGTTGAATACCTTTGAGATCGGCTGTTTAGCTTATTTCGGTTGAAAAAGTACGAAGACGATACATAGTTTGAGCATCAATAACATGAAGATTGATGTTCCAAAGTTCGACGACAAGATTAATTTCGGATTGTGGAGGTGTCAGGTGATGGACGTCTTGGACGCTCAGAATTTGGAGGAGACTCTTGAGTTACAAGAGAAACCTGCCGAGATGGAAGCTAAGGTTTGGAAGAAGATGAATAGTAGGGCGTGTGGAGTTATTCGGTCATGCTTGACGCCGGATCTTATTTATGACGTAATGAACGAGACGTCGGCGAAGAAGATGTGGAAAACACTTAATGAAAAGTATCTTACTAAGAGCATTGAGAATCGGCTTCACTTAAAGAAGAGGTTTTACCAGTTCAAGATGAAGAGGGAAGTTTCCATTAGGGAGCATGTTAACAACTTCACAAAGCTACTTTCAGACATGGCCAATGTGGATATCATGGTTGAGGATGAAGACAAGGCGATGCTACTTTTGTGTTCATTGCCCGAGGATGATTATGGTACTTTTGTCCTAACTATGATTAATGGAAGAACTACTGTTAGTTACAAGGAGGTGACCTCAGCGTTAGTGAATTATGAGTTGAGGAAGAGTGTGGATGAGTCCTTCCTCCGAGAAAGCATCGGGAGATGCATTAGTAGTTCAAGACCATGGTTCAAACTGAAGCAGGAGGTTGTAGTCTAGAGGTGCACATCGTGGGATTCGTAGGAATCAGTGTGCCTTTTGTAAAGAGGATGGACATTGGAAAGCTGAATGCCCAAAGTTAGATCGAGCCGAGAAGAATAAGGGGAAAGCTGTACAAGCTCCAGAGGTGAATGTTGTCAAGACTAGTGGCAACAATTCAGATTCGGATTCTTCGGGCTATTCGTTGTCTGCACTACCGTCAGTTTGTGTTGCCAACTCTACAGAGTGGATGTTGGATTCGGGTGCTTCATACCACGTTTGCCCTAGGAGGGATTGGTTCTCCAGCTTTCAGAAGTTGGAAAGAGAGGATGTTGTGCTCATGGGTAATGGACATGCATGCTCTATTGGTGGTATTGGTACCGTTCGGATTAAGATGAGTGACGGGATGGTGCGGGAGTTGGAAGAAGTGAGGTTCGTTCCGCAGTTGTCGAAGAACATCATTTCACTAGGAGCTTTGGTGGCATCTGGCTATAAAGTGACCTTGGTGGATGCACGTTTGAAGGTCACATCGGGGTCCATGATTGTGATGAAGGGCGTCAGAAGAAGCAATTTGTATTATTTGCTCGGAAGCACGGAGATTGATAGGGAGATGACGACTTTGTAGGCTGTCTAAAAATCTGGTTTCCGCAGTTGGGGATTGTTCTAGGCATTGGTGGGTTGCAACCAAGTCTCGTTGGTGTGAAGTCCTAGAAGCCCGTAACAAATGGAGGAAGTGTATTGGCAGAAAGGTGAAGGTACTTCAGTCTGATGTTAGAAGGAGGTACAAGAGGGACCTATACCTGCATTTGTGCCGAGCTCACGGCAATAGGAAACACTTCATTGGTGTGGAAACTTTGAGGCGACGCGATGAGATGGCAGATTTGGGGAGCTGTTCCTTTCTGGAGGAGGATCGGCGTTTGATGTCGAGCATTGGCATTGGTATGCGGGCTACGACATGTTTGAGCCGTCTCATGTATAGGTTGCCGACTGCTGCATGTAGAGATTTTGGATCTGGTGGAGCTGCTTCAGATTTTAGGTTGCGTCGGATGTTTAGCTACCCAGCACTTGGTCACATCGTGGATGTAAGATTTGATCCGATAGCACATTTGAGAATCAGAGACGTGTTTGATTATCAGGTATTGGCTTCTGACTTTGTTTTGAGCAGGGCGGCAGGTGGAGAGTGGTGATCAGATCTTTGGAACATCGCAGCGGGTGGAGAGTGATGCTACTCCAAGTTGGGTGGAGACTCCAGATCATACTGTATCATTTGGGATTCCAGCTGAGGTGACACAGATTGGGGATCATTTGGATTTGGATGCAGATGATGAGTTGGATTCGATTGCAGCTGATAGATGTAGTCTAGACATGGCCATTGGTTCATCTCAGGTGGAGGTGTTTGGATTGTTTCAGTTTAGGGCCATTGGAGGTGCTATCAGCCGCAGACTTGATCGTGATGTTGGAGAATGGTTGCAAACTCTTCTATTGAATTGAGGTCGTTCGCGGTCATTTGGGTGAACTACGTTCGGCTTGATTCCTTGGGCAAGAGGATACGTAGGCAGTCTTTACGATGCAGCCGGTTTGGATTAGTTGGGGGTGAGATCGATTTGGTGAGCGACATCGATATTTGGGGTGAGTGTTTGCACTCCCATTTGGGTCTCAGCAAGTGAGGCATTTGGTGTAGTCGGTGTAGACTCAGTTTGATTGGTGAGTAGACACTATTTGTTTTGGGTGAGTGTTCGTACTCCCGTTTGGGTCTCGACTTTGTTTGTGGATAGAGTCCGTTGTCATCGATCCGTTGCCGATGGGGTACTCGCGATGCAACAAAGTGAAGACGATTTGTTTTGGTATGGATGTCGGCTGCAGTTTTGGGAAAGCTTCACCGAGGTGGAGATTGTGAACGTTGTTTCTTGTGGGGGCGCCACGAGTTGTGCAGTGCTGGAAAGAAATTGTTTCCGCGTGAAGGAAGTTATCATCGTGGGGGGGCAGGGCCTACGAATTTTATGATTGGCCTTGGGGAGAAAGCGTAGAAGAGCTGGAACAAAAAAAACCGGAAACCGAGGCGACCGATTAACCATAGTGGCTATAAATAGAACATTGTTTTTAGCACTAGGTTAGGTGCAAGGTTGAGCAATTTTGAGGGGTGGCGGGCGGTGCACAAGGAAGTACAAGTTGGGGTTTCATTGTGGCGCAGGCAGACAAAAGAGCAAAAGGAGCAGTGAATTTCGTGCAACAAGAGACTTTGTGTGTGGATTATCTGGTCAGTCTTTTGTGTTTTTTGAGAGAGATTTTGTAGTGAGGGATTTGAGGAGTTTGTGTGAGGGTTAAATTGAGGAGATTGTAAACCCTAGTTTTATCTGCTCCTTCTATTAGTAAATCTTCCTCCTTGGCCGTGACGTAGGCTATTTGGCCGCACGTAAAAGTTGTGTTCTTGTGGTGATTTGTAATAGCTTGGTAGGATCCGCTCGACAGGTCAGTCCTAGAACTGATGAGAGGAAGCCGATATTCACTTGGTTGAGTATCCGGCTTCAGATTCTTGTTTCGTTGCTGAGACGGGAATTCTTATCCGATCTAATCTCTCTTGTTGTGCTGCCGACGAAGTGCCAGGAATTCCAGCCATGCGAGCAACAGTTTCAAATTGTAATTTGTAAACGGTTTTTCACATAATGGGCATTTAGAGCCCCAATTATGAAGGAGATTATTTGGGAGTTACACTTTTTAGATCTACTGAGAATTCAGCTGATACAAAATCCTTTTTGGATCATGTTGGGTCGCTTTTGGAGTTGGGGTGTTTTGGAGCTTTGGAAGCTTGGCTATTTTTTGAACATCTTTGGTTGAAATACCTTTGAGATGGCTGTTTAGCTTATTTCGCGGTTGAAAAAGATTAAATTTTTTTGAAATTACTCTTTCCAGAGTTTTAAACTCGTTTAGAGTTCTAAACTTGTCTGACAAGTTCTTCCCGACGTTAAGTCAAGAGAAGACAAAGTTCCACGAAGCGAGGTGTTCAGATCGTCAATGGAATACAAGACTCTAGCTCCCATCGCCACCAAGAAGAACCTAGTATTAAACAAAGGGAAAGATCTTCGTTGATCTTTCTCTCTTTTGTAAATCAAGAAGCCGATAAAGAAAATTATAATTTTTTTTCTAAGTCGGTTAGAGAGAAGTTACTTTGAGAGATTATATTCATTCTTTTCCTAAGACAGTTAGGGAGATTAATACAAATTTGTTTCTCAATTTTCTTGCAATTTTTCCCGCAAACAGATAGAAATGTGCAAGTTGAATCATAACAGTGTAGTTAGGAGTTAAATTGTCAGTCAAGTGTATAATTTGGAAGCATGAAGCTTAATGTTTGATATGCTAGAGCTCAGTTGGAAGATCCATGGATGATTTACAAATTGCAATTATGTTTTCTTGATCGTTATGATGTGCAGGAGGACATAGGGTTTAGCATTTATTTTGGGAGGAACTGCTGTATATTCAGAAAACTTACCTCGCAAGTGTCATGAAATGGAACATAGGTACTTATTAATGTCAAATTGCATACCGATCTTCTAGTTACATTTGGCAAGGTTTCTTGCAACTTTTGTTCTATGGAAGTCTGTTTACCAGTTGTCTTACAACTTACAAGTTCACTTATCAAAGAGCTTTTATCCTAGAATTTGTTACTGCTATTGGTTACTGGTTTCTTTTTTAATCCCTTCACAGTTCACATAAGGGAAGGCATGTGTCATGATGTAATCTTCATATTTAAAACATTTTTGCATGTTTATTTTGTTAACAAGTTTACATGAACTTCTCCTCCATTGTTATTTATGCAGGTAAATTTGAGGAGTGCAAGGATTTGCTCAGGAACATATACCCATTTATTTACACTCTGGGGACATATTTAAAGCCATATGTGAGTTCTAGATCTTTAAATATTCCTCTTTAATATTTACTGTTTTAATTTGCAGTTTTGAATTGTTTTTCAGGTGTTACAATTTATCAAGTTTTGCTTGACATGATATAATATGATTGAGGAATGTATACATTTGACTATGAGCGCTATCACCATAAGTACTTTATCCCATCCAAATAACGAACCTACTTATTCCCCCTGTTAATCTTCTTGCTTGTCATTGCACTTCAATTTTTTGTTAACTTCTCATGCAGTGTTGCACACTGATTATTCATCATCCTGCACGAGTTTAATATAAAAATCATGGTAAATCTTTAGTCTGCATCAGTAAGGCTCATGCAGTTTATGTTTCAAACTGATTATTCATCATCCTGCATGACTTTAATCTAAAAATCATGATAAATCTTTAGTCCGCATCCATAAGGCTCATGCAGTTTAGAAACTTTAGAAGTAAACCTTGTTCTCTGTGATGGAATTACATGCTACATGTGTATTTTGATGCCTATATGCAGTGTAGAAGGTTTGAACACGCTAATTGTCAATCACTGCAAGCCTGGTCTTCACGTATCAGTATTCTATTTTTATGAAGTTGTTGTGCTTGTTGGTATCATCCATGAACTTGTTAAATGAAATCAGTATACTGTTTTGATACCTATAAGTATAGTCCAACAAAGTGACCTACTTAACCATTCTTATTTTAACAATATGCAATATACTCAGTTTGAGGATCCAGTTCTCATATTATACAGATATGTTAGCAGGGTGATTTGTGGTTACTGACTTAGAGACAAATACAGGATCATGCACATGTTTGCTTGTCACATATGTGTACTTGGCACATGCAGATAAAACATGCACATATCATATGAAGAGCCTAGGAAAACCTTTAGAGTAAGCTAACTGAAACAAAATCTACTTTTTATTTTAAAGCAGAAGTAGTATATACACTTAGATTTATGTCTTTTTGAGAGATCTAGTAGATAATTATCTGTTCAAACAAACACTGAACATGGTGTTTAGTATCAGTTATTGATGGACACACCAATTTTACTGGGGTGAGTTTCATCTTGTTACAGTTTACGGCTTGAGAGGGTGCAACGATAACTTTCTATATCTGGCATCTTTTCTTTTCTTAATCTTGGTATTCATTTCCTTGCCATATGAGATGCCAAGCGTCCTAGAGACAGATAGTGATAACATCTAAGACTTACTATCAGTTTCAAATAACCTTTCTCCAAAGTTGACTACTAAATCATTGGTGAACCATGAAACCATCTAGTCCTGTCGTATCATTATAAAATAACTTTTCTCCAAGTTAATATGCCCAGTACAATAGTCACTTATTACAATGTAATTATTGTAGCAGTCATTATTATTTTACTACTTTTTCGATTATCATTATGTTTAACTACTGAAAACAACATCTAGAAAAAATAACGACAAATAGTAGTTATCCAGTACAACATAATCTTGCTTCAATAGCTTGAACACTTTTTCAATTCTTCAATTCCTATTCTAGAGACCCAATGCACCATAAAACCTTTCTTACAAAAAAATTATCCTCCAGTTATTTAGGGAGTCTTCTTATTGCATGAACTAATTCATCATAAAGTGAAGTTCCCTGTTATAACAAGAATATAATGAATTTTATTTCTAAGAAACAAAAACCCATGAGGAAAATAAAGCAAATTGAAGTTAAAAAAAAGAAAAAAAGAAAAAAAAGAAAAAAAAAAGAAAAAGAAAAACACCTTTCTTATCTTGAGTGCAGTTTGAATAGTATAGTTTGCATATCTAACAATTACAAGCCTTTGAAGTTTATTTTTGTTAGATCCTAACAGTTTTTCGAACTCAGACAGGTTTGAAAGATTTTCATCAGTAGAAAAGGGTTTAAAAGAAAAAATCTTGTCGCTACAATTTCTCAAGACAATTGAAAAGGTATATTGAATTATTATAATAAGAGTATAATGTTTAAATGAAATTATGTGGTGAAAAGCATTCACGTGCTGAGACAACCTGATTAAACCATTTCCAATTCTAACAACTACACAACTGCATTCTACTACCTATTATATACCCTGATATAAAATCACTCCGGAATATAGAAAATGTGGGCACTTTAGTCAAAGACTCAAATCGAAGATAAGCCATTGGTTGGGGACTTGGGGTTAAAATGCAAATAAAGGTTTCATGTTAGTTGTTGTCTTGTTGACATATTGATTCTTTTTCTCTCTTACTTTTTGAAGATAGAACTCTGAAGATTGAGCAAAAACTTCCAACTTATTAATACAATAATGGAAAAGAGAACTTATGAAGAATTTCGTAAACTGCCAAGGAAGAAGAAAGCTCAAGACTTTAGGCTGGCACCTCATAAACTTTCAGAACCATATAAGTAAAGAAAAATACTTATTATTCATTAAAGATAACAAAGTCATCTACAAATATACTCCCTCTAATTTAATTAGCAACAAAATAAATCGTAGGCCATTTAGAGAAAATGATTTCAGGGGAACAGCTACTCTGAATTGAAATAATGTCTTAAACCGTAAAATGAAATGCATCAATTGATGAACACCTTCTAAGTAGTATATCAGATATCCCAAGTTCCTCTTCTTTAAGTTGAATTTTAGCGAAAATGTCCTGCGACATTACAACATATTTTATGGGTCCAAACAATTAAAAATGCATTAGGCAGCTTACATGCTAAATGTCAAGAACAAATATATATATATTTTCAAATGCAAACGCAAATATCAAAAGAAGAATAACCAACCATAGCAATTGAAGAGAAGCTCCATCTTCTCATCTATCAACCAAATGATTAAAACAAAGGATGAACCGAATTCATCATTCTTCTGTTCAACAATCAACAAACCAAAAACCAGAGTCAAATATTCATGTTAATCCATAGTCTTCCCTTAATCAAAGGGAACTCTAGTTCATATGCTATTAGGCTTAACATTCAAACTAGGACATTTATATCCTGCAACAAGGCAAATTACTTAAATGAAAATATATAAAGCACGGTATTTGGAAATCATCCTATAAAAGAGCCACAATAATCCATAATCATACAACACTCGCTGCAAAATACAGACAACATGCAATGAAGCTTATATATAAGTAATAATTTTGATTGATGCAAGTGATAATTCACTGATAATTAAGAAATGCTAGTATTTGATAACACAAGCAAATCGAAGTTGCTCTCTTTTTTTGCCCGAATAATAAAGAATTGCTTTTCCTACCTAGCCATTGCTTGTGACATCTGTATGTTTATTAAACAATATGAACAAGCTCTAAACAAACTAAAATGGATCCTCGAACTTCTAGAGTAATAAATATTAATTTTCTAAGATTGAAAACTTGAAAAATTTTTGCGAAAAGAAACAGCAATTAGTGTTGAGATTTAGAATGTAAGTACTGAACTTTTTCTTGTGAAACTAGTAGAAAGTACAAGATTTTGCTTCAAACATAGAAATTCCTTGCTTCCGGATAAAAATTTCTGTTTGTAATAGAAAAACAACGACATGAAATTTTGATGGGAAATAACTTATAAAAAAGAAATGGAGTTTTATTTGTTGGGTAATAAGCCATTTCTTGAGCGCCTTACCAGCACCATAAAAACCCACGCTTAGTGAAATTGCTACATTTCGAGGTACATAAATCTCTAAAATTTGGTAAGACATAGTCAAAGCACATGATTTTAGTCCAGAATATGATAACAATTTGACAAATTATCTAGTATTTAAACCATATAGTAACCTTAATACTAGCAGATTTAGCCTTAAGTCACTACTGCAAACATGTACACGTTAGCATACACAAACACATAAACACCCTCATATACCATCCTGAAGATTTTCTGAATTTCTTCATACTTTCTAAAATCAGTCTTGTATCTGCATATATACAAACAATATCTAATAAAGGAAATAACTAACTAGATTGATTCTTTCCTAACAATCAGGGAACAGAATCACAGGAGAAGATCACAACCGATCTCTCCTTTTATTCCTAAAATACTTTCCTAAAAAATAAATTCCCTAACTTTGACTTCCAAATATTCAACACTCCCCCTCAAGCTGGAGAATATATATCATATAATCCCAGCTTGCAAATTAAGTCTTCAAAGTTAGGTCTAGGTAGAGCTTTGGTGAGGATGTCTGCAACTTGTTGCTTGGTAGGAATGTAGTTCAGTTTAACAGTCTCACTAGTCACCTTCTCTGTGATGAAGTGTCTATCAATTTCAACATGCTTAGTCCTATCATGATGCACGGGATTCTTTGCTATGCTGATTGCTGCCTGATTATCACACATCATTAGAATAGGAGATGAAGTCATTTGTCCCAGTTCACTAAGAACCCTTTTTATCCAAATCCCTTCACAAATTCCCTGTGCCAGTGCTCTGTACTCAGCTTCTGCACTACTTCTGGCTACCACTGATTGCTTCTTGCTCCTCCATGTAATAAGGTTACCCCAAACAAAAGAACAATATCCAGAAGTTGATCGTCTATCAATGACGTTTCCTGCCCAATCTGCATCTGAATACACTTCAATGTCACGATTCTCTGTCTTTCTGAAGAATAGGCCTTTTCCTGGTGTCATCTTCAAGTATCTAAGAATCCTGTGGACTGCTTCCATGTGTTCCTCTGTAGGATTGTGCATGAATTGACTTACAACACTCACTGCAAAACCAATATCTGGCCGAGTGTGTGAAAGATAAATCAAGCGTCCAACAAGTCGCTGATATCTCCCCCTGTCTACAGGTGTACTTTCCTTTTCATTGCCAAGTTTCTTCTGACTATCCATAGGAGTATCAAGTGGTTTGCATCCAAGCATACCAGTCTCCTTAAGAAGATCTAGAATATATTTTCTTTGAGAAACAACAATGCCCTTCCTTGATCTAGCCACTTCCATTCCAAGGAAATATTTAAGATTTCCAAGATCTTTAACTTCAAACTCTTTTGACAAATACTTCTTCAAATTATGTAATTCCCTCACATCATTCCCAGATAGAATAATATCATCAACATAGACTATCAATATAGCAATTTTCCCAGCTTGAGATTTCTTAACAAACAGAGTATGATCAGCCTGACCCTGTATGTAGCCAAGCTTCAAAACAGCCTTTGTGAATCTGTCAA